GCCTTTGCTCAAGCGACAACCTGTCGCTCGACTATCACTCACCCCTTACTCGAGTGACAATATTATCTGGAAATATTTTAATTCATGTTTTAAAAGCTTTTTATCTGACCATTCATTCCTTAACCTAACCTGTAAATACCAAACGCCACAGAACGATTTTTAAGAGGGTTGATCATTGAGCAAACACATGATTTTCATATTCTCTTCATTATCTTTGAACCTTCATTATTCATATTGTGATTTGTTCTTGGTGGTGAAAAACATCATATTCTAAATCCAAATACCAAACTACTGCTTCCTTTGTATCTGTCAGAAGTTCTGAAGATCAAGGGAAGGTGATTGGAGTTCTATGTGGTGTTCTTCATTAATCTACATGAGATAGACGATTTCACAAAGTTGGGAGTTGTTGCACGATAGTACAATCTAGGAGAGCTTTGGAAATTGCAGCTGGGAGTTGGTGCAGGAGTACAAAATCCAAGATAATTGTTGGAATTGCAGTTAGGAGATCAAAAAGTACTAGTGGTAGTCGAGTCTGGCGGACTGTAAGTTTTACATCATTTATAGTGGATTGTTGATTGCCAAAGTGCCCCGAGTTTTTACCCAATTGGGATTTCTTCATGATCATATCTTGTGTTAATTTATTGCTTTCATAACTGCGGTATTTTAACATAGGATAAAATTGAATTGTATTATTAACCATTTAGAGATAATTAATAGTGACTTGTTGCCAATTAATTATTAAGTTTTTAATTCTGCGTAATCACCTATTTACCCCCCTCTACGTGTAGTTTAGGTTGAACTTCGTATTTTCAAAAAGAAAACGTGTTGGGGGATTGTGAGTAATGTTATTCATCGTCACTACTGTTAAGTACTAATCTAAGTGACAATTGCATGACATTAAATATGTTAATCACCAATTTAGGTGACAATTACATGTCATTAAATAATACATTTAAATGCAAAATCACATTACTCATTTAATTAAACATGTAAATTGCAACCAACTTATATAGTGATCTAAATTGATATTCTAGCGTTATTCTGTTTGAGGAGGTATTCACATATCTCTAAGCATGTAATAGCTAAGTAAT